ATTGCATTAGAAAAATTTCAAACTAGTAATAAGAACTTGCAAGGACTCGGGTGGCTGATGTGAGAAGGAAGGAGCAGTGAGTTGTTGTGGCCATAGCACTTGCGAAGAGAAGGCCTGAGATGTCTCTGTAGCTGAGAATACAAATGAAAAGATAGAAACAAGAAATACAAAATGGAACAAATCAAGTCTATTTCCTGAAGTTCAATCTGTAATGCAGCCTGAGACAGCTGTTCTCTCTCCACACGCAGAGTTCAAATTCTGCATCCTGTGCAGAATTCATCTCTTACCCAGCACTGCAACATCCCTGTGATTAGAATGTCTCTTAATTATGGTGTCCATTACACTAACAATATGGTCCTGTGTTTTTTAAATTTATGTAAATTCAAGAACACCACATTGAAATGATGTTGCCAAGTTTTCAGGTGGCTGCATTGACAGAAAATAAAAAGTAACTTTGAAGGCATCGTTTACAAGAAGGAAAAATAATTTTAAAATGTTGATTTAAGAGTTTTTCTCTAATAAAAATAAAAAGCAAAACACCAAACTTAAACTTCATGTGCTTTCTGTAAAATTACCTCATTTTTAAAAAAGGAACTTATTTATTTATTTTTAGAGAGATGGGAAAGGAGGGAGAAAGAGATGGAGAGAAACATCAACCGGTTGCCTGTTGCACACCCCCTACCAGGGATTTGGCCTGCAACCCAGGCATGTGCCCTGACTAGGAACCGAACTGGCAGCCCTTGGATTCACAGGTGGCTCTCAACCCACTGAGCCACACCAGCCAGGACAAACTACCTCCATTTTTAGGTTGATTTCTGTATACCACTGAATTCTATGAAAACCATTTTTAAAATCACTGACCAGGTTATGTAAGTGAGTTTATGATCTATGGTATAAGTTAAAACATATATTAAGTTTATAAGAAAGTAAGTTTCATTACTTACAGAACTTACTTATAAAAAGCAAGTTCTGTAATGAAAATTACAGAAAGTAATGAAAATTGCAACATGTGATTCTCAAACCAAGAGTCATGAAATTTGGAAAAATGTGCGGTAATGTACAGAAAATGATTGACTCATCAAATGTTTATATTATTTATTTTGGTACATGATTTTCCTATGCTTTTTATAATACGTGTACACCACATATTTCTTCCTCAGTCCTCTAATTCCTACACTGTATCCTTAAGTTACTATGTATACATAATGCATCCGTGGTTTATTTCAAACTATGTAAATCCACATATGTAGGCTCAGAAAAGATATGTGAATAGTATAGAAGCTCAAAAGATAAAATGAACTTTTAAAGTGTACTTGTTTGAACTTTTGAAAAGTCCTTTTCTTTTTTGAAGTGTTTTTTTGAAAAGCTTTGCATTTGCTAAGCAGAGAACCCTGGTATTGGATGGTGAGCAGGAATTACACAAAAGACCACAAGAGAAAGTAAAACAGACTTTATTATTTACAGGCTCTGGAGAAAGGACACGGCAGGCCTGGCGGGTCTACATGTGGAGGCCAAGATAAGATGGCAGCAGAGAGAAGCACAACCCAAGACCCATGATGTTATTAGGGGTCATGGGCAGAGTGCTTTGGGGTTCTCAAGCTAAATTCAGATTGTTCAAAATAAACGAAAAATTTTGGTAAGGTATGCAGAGATGTTATCTAACAGCCATATATGCTGAATGCCCTGAGGTGAAAGGAAGACTGTTAGTCACAGCAGCTGCCAGTATGTCCTGTCAAAAAATTTCATTGAATTGTGACTCTGTGAGCTTTTGTCCAGTGCATGCAATTGCGGGACAATGTAGTGGCCGTTCAAGGTTGCTAGTTACAGAAAGCAAATGCCATGACGGCAATATCTTGAAGTAGCTTAAACTTAAAAAAAAAGATTTATTTTTACAGGGAGGGGAAGGGAGAAGAAAAAGACGGAGAGAAACATTGATGTATACAAGAAACAGCGATCAGCTGTCTCTCGCACATCCCAACGTGGGGATGTGGCCTGTAACCAAGGCATGTGCCCTAACCAGGAATTGAACCAGGAACTGTTTGGTTTTCAGGCCAGTGTTCAATCCACTGAGTCACACCAACCAGGACACTTTGATGGACTTTTAAAAAAACATACGTGTCACCTCTATTGTCATAATTTTCCATTGGGTACCATAAAAGGAAAAATATATCCAAAATAGATTTTTAAACATTATTTAATGTCTAAATACAGAGGAAAGAAATTGGTAATGATGTATTTTCACGGCATTACCAAATAGTATGTTGTTACCTACAGCCTAGAATAAGGTTAGATATATGGCCATATTCAAGTTTATTCAGCTTTATTAATAAAAATAATAGGTTCTCAATCCTCTAAATAAAGCACGAGAAACCAAGTGTGTGACCATGTCAACACACACATTGCAATCACTTAAGAAATGTTCCTGTTCGTGTGCTCTACACTTCCTCACCTATTGCTGATCATTTTTCTGTTCCAATCACACCAACTAATATTCATCACTCTATCTATGATTAGTATTGAAGATACATCAGGATTTTAATATATTCACATCTTAATTTCTTTGAAGAGTATGTTGGAAAAGTAGGTGAAATTCACAATGTTCCCATGTCTTAACATTAATACAAGAAAAGATGTCCTGCATGGTGATATACAATCAAGTCCTAAGTCAACCACAAACAGCAACTCCATTTAGATTTTCTATATAAATTGTGCATTACGATGTCCTCAATCTTTTTTAAAAATTTATTTATTTATTTATTTGTTAGAGGGGAAGGCAGAAAGAGAGGGAGAGAAACATCAATGTGAGGTTGCCCCTCATGCGCCCTCCTACTGGGGACCTGACCTGCATCCCAGGCATGGGCCCTGACTGGGAATCGAACCAGCGACCCTTTGGTTCACAGGCTGGCACTCAATCCACTGAGCCATACCAGCCAGGGCACAATGTCCTCAGTCTTAAAGAAAAGTAGGTATGAGTGAAACCCACTTAATATACAAGATTTCACAGATCAAAAAAAATCAGAAATCAACCCGATTTCACACATACACCAGGAATAAAACACAGTAGCATCAAGTGATATGAGACTAGAATCACATTAATATTGCCTTCTGAAAACATCTCGAATACTGTCAGTATAGAATAGGATATACAATACAATTATACATACCCAACATCTATCCCCTTTATATTTTGAAGCACACTAGGAAGTAATTTTCCATGTTTTTAAACTTTGGGTGATTGCCTGTACTATTCTGATTTACAGCAATGCCTGAAAACTATTACTAACTTTCTATGATATTAAAATTTTTAAAAATTACACACTTTCCTAAATTTTTTACATCTTTACAGCTACTTTAGGCATAAATTCTCTGGGCTTTTGTGAGTTTGTATTTTGGACAATGTTGTTTGTTCTTTATTGTGAACATAGAATTCTACCCCCGTGTTCATTCCCTGAGACTTTGAGGCTGTAATCCAGCTATATGGTCTCCTACAATCTGTCTTTCTAAGGTTTCCATCTGGTATAAATTCTCACATGTCAAATAAGCCATGACTGTTGAAAAAAATGTTTTCAACATTGTTTTCATTTGTATTCTCTTTAGAATGAATTCTGATGTTGAGTAAGGTTTGCCATATTTTTAATATGTATTTGTTAGTCTTCTCCGTAGTATTAATTATAGATATTATTAAGGTAAGAATGAAGATTAAGGACTTTTGCAAAATGTTACATTTTTAAGGCTTCTCTTCAATATAATTCTCTGATGTTGAATGAGGCTTGAGCAATGGTGAAAGCTATTCTTAAGTTTTTATTGTTTTCCTCTAGCACAAATTCTCCAACATTGTGTATGCTTTGAGCACAGGTTAAAAGCTTTCTCACATTATCTACATTTCTATGGTTCTTCTCCATAAGAATTCTCTGGTGTTTGGTAAGATACTACTGATGATTAAAAGATTTGGCACCTACATTACATTTATAAAGTTTCACTCCAGTATGAATGACATGCTTTCAAGTGTTTTAAAGAGCGACTAAAGGCTTTGCCACTGTCCACATACATAAGGCTTTTCTCCAGAATGGTTTCTCTGATGGTCAGTCAGGGTTGAGGAATGGACAAAAACATTGCCACATTCTCTACATTTATAAGCTTCTTTTCCAGTATAAATCCTGTGATTCTAAGTAAGTGTTCATTAATCATAAAAGGATATACTGCATTCTCTACACTTGTAGGATTTCCCCCAGGAGTGAGTTGTTCTCTCAGGCAGAGTAAGGCATGAATGCTTATTAAAGCCACATGCTTTACATTTGTAAGGCTTCTCTCCATTATGATTTGTCTCATGTTGTGTAAGACACCAATAGTAATAAAGTTTTGACACATTTTCCGCACTTGTAAAGTTTCTCTCAACAATGTTTTATTTCATGTTTAGTAAGATACAAATGCAAATAAAAGGCTTTTGCACACTTTTTACATCTGGAAGGTTTGTCTCCACAGTGAGTGATCTGATGACAAGTAAGCTTTGAAACGTGTTAAAGGCTTTGCCATATTCTCTACATTTGTAAAAACTTTGCCACACCTGTTACATCTGTAAAATTTCTGTCCAGTATGGACTTTCTGATGTCCAATAAGGTGTGAACACAAGTAAAAGGCTTTGCTACATTTTCTACACATACAGTGTTTCTCTCTAGTATGAATTTTCTGATGCTGAGGAAAACTGATCACTGGTTAAAGGATTTAACATATGCTCTACATACATAATGCTTTATACAGGATGATTTCTCTCATTATCAGTAACAGTTTAGGACCGACTAAAGGCTTTGCGACATTCTCTACCTTCGTAAGACTGATTTCCAGTACAAATTTTCTGATGTTTCAAAAGGGTTGAGGACCACCTAAATGATTTGCCACATTTGTTACATTTACAAGCTTCTCTACCCTATGAATTTCCTGGTGAGTAACATATTGAGGACTTACTAATGGCTTTTTCCCATTCCTCTACGTTTATAAGACTTCTATCCAATGTGAATTTTCTGATGTCGATTAAGGTTTGAAGACCGGCTAAAGGCCATACCACATTCTCTACATTTATAAGGCTTCTCTCCAGAATGAATTTTCTGATGTTGAGCAAGGTATGAAGACTGGCTAAAGGCTTTACCACATTCTGTACATTTATAAGGCTTCTCTCCAGTATGAATTTTTTGATGATGAGTAAGGCATGAGGACTGGCTAAAAGCTTTACCACATTCTAGACATTTATAAGGTTTCTCTCCAGTATGAAGGTTCTGATGTTGGGTAAGGTGAATGGACTGCGTAAAGGCTTTGCCACATTCTGTACATTTATAAGGCTTCACGCCAGTATGAATTTTCTTATGGTTAGTAAGGGATGATGAGTGACTAAAGACTTTACCACATTCTCTACATGTGTAAGGCTTCTCACTAGTATGAATTTTCTGATGACAAGCAAGCTTTGAGGCCGTGCTAAAGGCTTTATCACATTCTCTACATTTGTAAGGCTTCTCTCCAGAATGAATCTTCTGATGTTCAGTAAGGTACGAATACTGGATAAAGGCTTTATCACATTCTTTACATTTATAAGACTTTTCTCCAGTATGAATTATCTGATGATAAGTAAGGTGTGTGAACTGCCTATAGGCTTTGCCACATTCCCTACATTTATAAGGCTTTTCTCCAGTATGAATTTTCTGGTGTTTAGTAAGATATGAGGACTGGCTAAAAGCTTTACCACATTCTCTACATCCATAAGGTTTCTCTCCAGTATGAATTTTCTGATGTTGAGTAAGGTAGGAAGACCGGCTAAAAGCTTTACCGCATTCTCTACATTTGTAAGGCTTCTCTCCAGTATGAATTTTCTGGTGTTCAGTAAGGTGAATGGACTGCCTAAAGGCTTTGCCACATTCTCTACATCCATAAGGCTTCTCTCCAGTATGAATTTTCTGATGTTTAGTAAGGGATGAGGAGTGACTAAAGGCTTTACCACATTCTCTACATTTATAAGGCTTCTCACGGGTATGAGTTTTCTGATGACAAGTGAGCTTTGAGGACTTGCTAAAGGCTTTACCACATTCTCTACATTTATAAGGCTTCTCACGGGTATGAGTTTTCTGATGACGAGTGAGCTTTGAGGACTTGCTAAAGGTTTTACCACATTCTTTACATTTATAAGACTTTTCTCCAGTATGAATTATCTGATGATAAGTAAGGTGTGCGAATTGTCTATAGGCTTTGCCACATTTTCTACATTTATAAGGCTTCCCTCCAGTATGAATTTTCTGATGTTTAGTAAGGTCTGAGGACTGGCTAAAGGCTTTGCCACATTCTCTACATTTATGAGACTTTTCTCGAGCATGGATTTTCTGATGTTGGGTAAGGTCTGAGGACTGGCTAAAGTCTTCACCACATTCTCTGCATTTGTAAGGTTTCTCGCCAGAATGAATTCTTTTCTCATGTTCAATAAGACATGAGTTCCATTTAAAGGATTTACCACATGCTTTACATTCATAGAACGTCTCTCTAATATGAATTGTCTGATGTGCACTAAGAGCTGAAGGCCAATTAAATGTTCTACCACATATTTTACATTTATGTTTTCCTTCTGTACGGATTATCTTAAGTCTATTTTGATTGAATATTTGAGTGAGGACTTCGCCACACGGTACACATTTGTAACCACCCTCCCTCGTATGAACATTCCCCTGCTCACTATGATGTGAAGATTGCTTAAAAGACGGGACACATTTGCTTTGTCTGTCTGTCTTCTCCACCATAGGAATAATCTGGTGTGTGTGGGTATTTGACATTTGGACAAAGACTTTTCCACCTTGACAACGGTTCTCTGGAAGCTCAGTATTCTGATGTATATTAAGATTTGATTCATGGTCAAAATTTTTCCAATGTTCATTACATTGATAACTTCTGTCTTCGTTATATGTACCCTGGTAATCATTGAAGATAAAAAGACCTTTAGTGAAAGCTGTAAGTTCATTAAACATGTATACCTATTCCTAAATGACTATTTTGTGATACCTATTAAAACCATCTTGGTTGCATAAAAAATCACTTCCACCCTAACTAGTGTGGCTCAGTGGGTTGGGCTTCATCCCCAAACAGAAATGGTGCTGGCTCAATTCTCAGTTAGGGCACATGTCTGAGTTGCAAGCCAGGTCCCTGGTTAGGGCTCACGCGAGAGACACTCAATTGATGTTTCTCTCCCTCTCCCTCACCCTCCCTGACCTTCTCTCTATAAATGAATAATATCTTTAAAAAAAAAATGCTCCCAAGTTAACAAAAATTATACATATTGAAATAAAACCCTTATTTTTCAATAAAGTATATTACTTTAATTTGATATGTGCATTATAAAGCACTAAATTTTAGAAATTGACTAAAAGTTTAATCCCACTCTACATTTTAAAAAATTCAAATCATTGCTCACACCACGGATTATGTGAGTTCCTAGATTTTCCAGAATGCCTTTAAAAGAATATATACCCTTAGAAAATTGTTTCCAGTCTTCACATTTATAAACACATTTTACTGAAACTGTAACTGACTTAAAGGGGGGGGTTCCCAAATGTGTACTATTTTTAATCTCATTATGGGTAACAAGGATTTTTTATTTGGGTAAATAATTGTCCCAAGTTAGCTCTGTCCATTTAAATGGTCTTTTTTTCTCGTCACACACTCTTATCAGGCTTTCATTACATTATCAAACCACATCTTCTACATCTTACCCGCATTACTTTAGGGAATAAATCTTCTATCCCTGGCTTTCTCAATAAGGCCTGGTTGTCTTCAGAGGACACAGCTGAAAAATATGTAATAAAGTTTCACAGTTTTGACACTGGTGAGTGTACATGGAACTTACCAGCAAGAATTAACCAGATTACAATTCTGAGTACTCCAAAAGAAAGTTAAATGTTCAAAGCAAGACAAAGAAAGTTACATGAGGTAAAGTCACATCAAAAAGGTTGTAATTAAAGGAAAAAAATCAATTAATGAAAAATTCAGTTTTCTTCCCTGGCTGCTTGAAGATCAGCCACCATCATGAACTACACAGTAACTACCTGGACCAGGAAGTTCATGACCAATAGTCTCTTCACCGAAAAAGGTGGTCGTTAATGTCCTTCATTCTGGGAAGGCAAGAGCTTGTAAGAAAGAAATGCAAGAAAAACTAGCCAAAATGTAAAAGACCACACCAGATGTTATCTTTGTGCTAGGATGCAGAACCCATTTTGGGGTTGGCAAAACAACAGGCTTTGGAATGATTTATGATTTTATGGATTACACACATAAAAAATTTACCCAAACTAAACTTGCAAGACATGGCCTATATGAGAAGACAATGTCCTTGAGAAAACTGAGCTAGGAACTCAAGAAAACAATGAAGATAGCCAGGGTGACTTCAAAGGACAATGCTGGTGCTGGCAAAAAGAAGGAGTAAAGATTCTTCACGGACTTAATCAGTGGGGATCACACAGATTTATCATGACAAGAGTATAAACTAAGAAATAAAAAAAAAAATTTATCCCACGATCCTAAGTTGCATTGCTAATAGTATAAGACAGCACTAATAGCCAAGGTGATTGAAACGTTCAAAGAGATAACTATCAAAATCCCAATGACACTTTTGGCAAAAATAACATATTTATTCTAAAATTAAAATGGTCCCTGATTGGTGTGGCTCTGTCAGTTGGGCATTGTTCTTTAAAGCAAAAGGTTGCTGGTTTGGGCAGGTGCCAGGCTGGGCAGATGCCCCGGCTGTGGGCCAGGTCCAAACCGAAGTGTGTGAGATGCAACCAACTGATATTTCTCTAGCACATGAATGTTTCTCTCCCTCTCTCCCTCCCTTCCCCTGTCTATAAAATTACATGAATAAAATCTTTAAGAAAACATATTTCAAAGCTGGTGTTATTAAAAAGTATAATACAAACATTATGACAGAGGCAAATAATTAAGTATGGTGGACTGAATAGCCTACATACAACTTCTCCTGGATAAGGTCAAATGACCTTCAATGAAGGTGCTGAAACCACAAAATAAGAGAAAGGTATTCCACTCTGGCCAAGCAGTTCAGTTGGTTAGTGTTCTGATACACCAAAATGCTGGATTTGATCTTCAGTCAGGGCACATATGAAAAGCAACCAATAAATGCATAAACAAATGGAACAACAAATCAATGTCTGTCTCTCTCTGTTCCTTCTTTATTTCTAAACTCAATAAAAACAAAGTATAAAATACTGCGGGCTGTAATTAAAGAAGATCTTGAACAAGCATGCTAATACCACAAAATGAGACAAGGATATTCTCATAAACAAACAGCATTGAGAATTTGTTGGTCCAAATGTAGAAAATTGAGTGAAGTTAGACACTTGCCTAGAATAATAAACAAATATTAAGAATGGATAAAATACTTAAACATAAAGCTAGTAACTATTAATCTACTAAATGAAATGGCCTAAGAAAGATTTTATGGCATTTATTTTTTTATTATTAAAACACCAAAAAAACACTTGTAAACAAAGCAAATACAGACAAATGGAATTATACCCAATATTAAAAACTTCTGCACATTAAGGCAAATAATCAGTGGGTTAAAAATACAACCTGTAGAATGGAAGAAAATTTGTGCAAAGCATGTATCTGATAAGCCTTTAATATTCAGAATATATAAAGAACTTTACAAAACTACATGACAGCCCTGGCTGGTGTGGCTCAGTGGATTGAGCGCCAGCCTGAGAACCAAAGGGTTGCTGGTTTGATTCCCAGTCAGGGCACAGGCCTGGGTTGTGGGTCAGGTCCTCAGTAAGGGGTATACGAAAGGCAACCATAACTGATGTTTCTCTCCCTCTCTTTCTCCTTCCCTTCCCCTCTCTCTAAGAGTAAATAAATAAAATCTTAAAAAAGAAAACAACATAATAAAACATATAGAACAATTTTAAAAATGGCTGAAGATATGTAATTAACTAATCTATAAGGAAAAAGTCAGGTATACAAATGGGGAAAGACAGATTCTTTAATAAATAGTGAGAGGAAAAACTGAACCAATACACACAAAATAACGTAACTATACAACTTTCTTAGGCCGTGTACCAAAATGAACTCAAAACGGATTAAAAACTAAAACGTAAGACCTGAACCCATGAAAACGCTAGAAGAGAGGATAGTCAATAACCTCTGCCATCATTCTTATGGAATATTTATTTGCATTCATCTCAGTAGACATAGAAAACAAGAAAATAAATAAAAAATGAGACTAAAACCAAGTAAGTTTTTGCACAGGATATGAAACCATCAAGAAAACAAAAAAAAATCTAATCTACCAAATCAGGGAATATATCCACCAACAATACTAAATACCCAAAATATACAAGGAACTTACACAACACCAACCCCCCCCCCCAAAAAAAAAACCTGATGAAAAAAATGAGCAGAGGACCTGAATAGCTATTTCTTTAAACAGGACATAAAGTTTGCCAATAGCCATATGTATAGATGTTCAAATCATTCATCATGAGAGAAATCAAAATGGGACTATAATGAAATATCACTAGACATCTATCAGGATGGTAATTATCAATAAATTAACTGGGACAAAAGAACAAACCTGACTAAAAACCTGACAGAAAACATAATACAAAAGATACACGGGTAAAAAATTAGTGTCTAACCCTGACCAGTGTGGCTCAGTGGGCTGGGTGCCCTGCTGCAGAGCGAAACTCACCAGTTCAGTTCCTGGGTTGCAGGTTTGGTCCCCGATGGGGTGCATGAGGGGCAACCAATAGTTTCTCCCTCACATCGCTGTTTCTCTCCCTCTCTTTCTCCCTCCCTTCCCCTCTCTAAAAATAAATAAAATCTAAAAAAAAAAAAATCCAAAATAACCATCCACATCTTATGTCACTAAGGAAATGGACATTATAAAAATGAAAACAAAACAAACAGCACATTAAAGCAAAACTAAACCCCTACTACACAGGTCAGAATCCAGAACACTAACAACTGCAAATGCTGCTATGGATGTGAAGCAACTGGAGCTTTTATCCATTGGTGGTGAACATGTAAAATGGTTATCACCCCTTGGGAGGAGAGTTTGGGGGTTCTCACAAAACTAAACATACACTTATTATATGATCCAGTAATTGTGCTCCTTAGTATTTAACCAAAGAGCTAAAAATTTTTATCTACACCAAAGCCTACAACAGACTATTTATCAAAGCTTCATTCATAATTTTGAAAATTGGAAGCAATGAAGGTATCTGTCAACAGGTGAATAATAAATAGGTAAACTAAAATACATACAGTAAAATATTAAGTGCTATAAAGAAATAATATGTCCAGCCATGAAAAGATATGAAGAAAACCTAGATACATAAGTTAAGTGAAGTAACATAATCTGCCTGACTAGGTGCTCAGTTGCTTAGAGCATCATCCCAATAGGCTAAGGTCGCAGGTTCAGTCTCCAGTCAGGGCACATACAAGAGTCAACTAATAAATGTATAAATAAATGGAACAATAAATCAATGTTTTATCTCTCCTCTTTCTCTCCATTCCTCTTTTGCTAAAAAAAATCAATAAATGAAATTAAAAAAGAATCCAATTTGAAAAGTCCACAAACTATAGGATAACAACTACATGACATTCTAGAAGACACAAAATGAGAGAAACAATACAGAGATAAATGGTGCAAAAGTTTAGGAGACATAGGGAAAAATGGGCAGAGCATAGAGAATATTAGAGCTGAGCAACTAGTCAGTTTAACACTATAATTGTGCATATGTCATCATAAATTTTCTAAACCCGCAGAATATAAAAACCAGCAGTGAACCTGACAGTCAACTAAAGCTTTGGGTGATAATGGTGTGCATACGTAGGCCCACACATTTCACAAATGTACCTCTCCGGTGCGGGCCACTGAGAACGGGAGGAGGTCATGCATGTGAGAATTCTTATGAACTTCTATACAATTTTGCTGTGAACCTAAAACTGCTCTTTGAAAAAGTCATTCCCAGACTGTCTCCTCTATCTATACTCAGGTCTAAGAGTCTTTCCTATGGTTCTTTACGCACATCCAAGAAACAATATTTGCATCCCCCATTAAAATCATATGCACAATATATATCACTTCACAACAATTAGGATGAGCAGTATCAATGAAACAAACAATATCAAGTGTTTTCAAAAAATGTGCAGAAACTGGACACTATACATGGTTGAATGAAAGAAAAATTGGTGCAAACAGTATGCATAACAAGAGGGGTTCTCAAAAAATTACAAATAGAATTGTTTATTCCACTTTTTACTTCTGGGTATTTATGAAAAAGAATTCCTGCCCTGGCTGGTGTGGCTCAGTGGATTGAGCGCCGGCCTGTGAGCCAGAGTCGCCAGTTTGATTTCCAATCTGGGCACAGGCCTGGGTTGCAGGCTAGGTCCCCAGTAGGGGGCACACGAGAGGCAACCAGACACTAGTGTTTCTCTCTCCATTCCTTCTTCCTCTTTCTCTAAAAACAAATAAATAAATAAATCTTTTAAAAAAATTTATGAAAATTAAAAGACAAAAGACCTCAAAGGAGGATCTGCAAGAGACAAGTGCACACCTGTGTCAACTGTAGCATTACTCACAGAAGCCTGTATAGGGGGAAACAATCCCCATGTCTGTGGATAAATAAATAGGTTTAAAAAATTTAGTATATACATACAGTGGGATAATGCTCTGCCAGGAAACAGAAAAAAATCTTATTAGCTGAGTGCACAACAACAAACATTGAGGACATTTTTTAAGTGAAGCATAGGAGTCACAGAGAGACAAACACTATAGGATTCTACTTGGGTGAGTAATCCAACAAAGTCAATTTCATAGGGAAAAAAAAAGGTAGTTACCTGGGCCTTGGTTTTAAGGCAAATGAGGAAATGCTTGTTTAATGATATGGAGAAATTTCTGTAAGATGGAAGTTTCTAGAGATGAGATGCACAACAAAGAGAGTATACTTAATATGATTGTACTGTACAGTTAGAGATGAGTAAGGTGGTAGATTTTACTCACACAGTTTATTAAAATTTAAAATAAAAATATCTAAAAAAAATAAAAAAATTCAGAACTTCTGAATCTACAAATTCACACTTAATTTAGAAAAGTTTTTATCTTGCATAAACAGAATATAAGTTCATCCATGAACAGATAGATATAAAATTAAGACTATTTCAATAACTACACAGGACAAAACAACCACTGACCATTAACTAAGCACAGAAAGAAACAAGGTAAGTCATGAACAAAGTAGGGTAAAACCTAGACAAATGTGCATAGAAGTTTAATGGCATCTGACATATGGCTGATTCATATTCCAATTAAATCCCACAATATCTTCAGTGAACTGCGTTGAAAACTATCACTCACTTTCCTAATATATAAATAAAAACCAAAAAGTCAATCGACTAAATTTGGGGAACTTATCATGGAAAAAAGAAACTCACTGGAACAGCAGCGGGAATTGTGAGTGAGTCTGGGGAAGCTGGAGTCCCCAGTCTTTCTCTTTAAAGTGCTGCACAGACTCACTGGGATGCACTGGCTGGGATCTCCGGCCCTGGGACAGCGGCTTGAACGGCACCGGAGACATATCAGGAGGAACTGAACTGTCTGGCTTCACAGCAAAGGCTGGAGAGGCAGCTGTCTGCCACCCAGCGGTCCTCCCCGGGGCCATTATCGCCTTGCTCAGCCCTCAGCACTACAAAGCTGGCAGGCAGGTGCCGTATCCAAGTTCCACCTACTTGGCTAACGTGCAGCCCTGTCCCAGTCATTCCCTGACATGTTGCTGTGCTCAGCTTGAGAGCCCATCTAAGCGACGTCCAGTGGCTTTCCCATACAAATGGCCTTCCTTGCCTCGTGCTCCAGACTCTCCTTAATCTCAGAAACAAACTGCATCTGGCCCCTGCGTGCCCCTCACATCTCAGTGGCCACATATCTGACATTAGCCACAGCTGGCCTTGGGTCGCAATGTGATCTTTCTGGGCACCTCCAAGATCAGCACAAGTAGGAGCCATCTGCGTATCACTCCGTAACTGGGGCCAGGCACCCTGGGCAATTCGCAGGTGGCGGCTGATCTTGAACCTCCAGGGAAGACCCAGAGCCAGTGCACCCAGTAGACAGCGTAAGCCCATGTCAGATTACAACCCTACCACTTCTACAACGACACATCAACGGAGCAGACTCTTTGAGCACCAAAGTTGCACTGAACTTTTTTAAAAATATGAACTGCCTAATAATTCTGTAACTCACTTCTTACCAGAGGAGCACATTTGAGCACGTTCTATCAGAACTTCTGAATCTAAAAGCACAAACATGACAAAGATCTAATCAGAAAGTGAAAACACATAGGACACAGTCCTGGGAGCTTTGGACTGAATAAGAGAGAATGATAAAATCATAGTGATGAAGAAATCAGGTAAAAATAGAGACTTTCCTACCTGGTCGGCAATGTTTTAACGTCACCTATAACAGTAACTTACTGAAGACCTCTATGAAGTGAATAGATACAGTAAACTGATATGGAGGAATTAAAAAATACAGACTAGAAATTTCTTATTTAGTTCATACAAAGCAAAAAGAAGTTTTGAAAAGAAACCCGAAATTGGATTGTTGTGTTCTGGAGAGTATATTCGGCTGTGATAAAAATCACTGAGTCTAAATTTCGTAGGATCTTATTTGAAGACTCCACAGAATTAGAAATTATATACCAGGATACGTGACATCTGACTCCAGGGTTCCTGGGATTTCTGCAACAAATTCCAGGATATCAAGCCCTTCCTTTATAAACACTTTTCATGAGACAACAAAACCTAAAAAAAACAGGTTTAAGTACAATTTGTCAGCAAAGTGCACAGATTTTCCCAAGTCCCCACAGCAAGTGAAGAGGAGCCAGACCATGGTGGCCCTCACAGTTCAATGGGAGGACTTTGGCCCCAACTGGTAATAGGATGACAGAGGTCACTGGAGTAGAATAGAGTCCCAAGATGATACAGGAGCAAGTGGCATGTTGGAGATGAGCTGTCCCTTTATTACAGCAACAGAAATAAACCTGGGCTTTTCACAATCCTTCCACTGAAGCACAGCTTCCCAAACCACACCTTAAAGTCTGGATTCCTTTGTGACCTTTGGGCCTCTCATTTAAAAAAAATATATATAAAAAAAAAGATTATTTATTTATTTTTAGAGCAGGGAAAGGAGGAAGAGAGGGACAGAAGCATCACTGTGTGGTTGCCTCTTGCATGCCCCCTACTGGGGACCTGGCCTGCAACCCAGGCACGTGTCCTGGCTGGGAATCGAACTAGTGACCCTCTGGTTCGCAGGCTGGCACTCAACCCACTGAGCCACACCAGCTAGGGCTGGGCCTCTCACTTTTTTCATGTGCTTCCCCATTTCCACCTACCTGCATGGATGCATATTAACTTTCTTCCCTGCATATCCCAGCACTCCTTCATTTGCTCCAAAAAGGTAATCAGGACAGGCTTAGAAACAACAAGACCTGTTTATAAAAGAAAGAAACATGAGTTCTGATGGTGATGCTCCCATTTCCAATACACTTTGTGATCAGGTGAGAAGACTGCTACAAAGTTAGTATATTCTAGAAAATGATTTTCCAAAATACTGTTTGCTGATAGCACGCTAATTACCCTACACAACATATAAAATTTCAGACACTGAGTTCCTCATTCACATAGTTCATGAAGCTTTTTCTTACAATACCAGATAACCTTCAATTTCTCCCTTGAAAGCAAGAATCTAAAGTGTCCATGCAAAGCATAACCCACAAAAGATATTAAACTAACTAAAACCCCCCTCCCCCCGCCCCGCAGGTAGAACAGGAACTCTGGAAGGAAGTCATCCTCACCCAGGGAGACCAGGTTCCTGTAGTTCTCCAACATCACATCCCTGTACAACTTCTGCTGAGCTGGGTCCAGGCACTCCCACTCCTCTTGAGAGAAATCTACTGACACGTCCCTGAAGGTCAACAATCCCTGATAAAAAAAAAAAAGACACATTTACCAAGGAGACACCAGATGAGTTCATACTGCATTCCAACATGAAAACAGTGTTAGGAAAAGTGGTGTTGACTTAAGAGAGTATCCTGTATTATCTAGTAAGATCACGTTGACCCAGTGATATTCTCTAACATATTTTCTAACACTGAGAAATGAGGATGACACAGGTACACAAATCCACTGTAGAGACTTCACTTTTCAGGAAAATAAACTTTAAAATGAAGGCATTGACACATGCATATGTAATGTCGAGTGTTGTATCACGTTGCGGGGAAAGCAGACTCAGACACGGTGCAGGGAACGGAGTAAGCCTTCATTGAGGCGCGCGGGCTCAGAGGAGGCAGTCTCCAAATTCCGAGCCCCGAACTGGGGTGAGGCCGGGGTTTATAAGCCTTAGCGTTGGGGGGGGGAAAGGATAGGAAAGTCCTGGGCTGGAAGTAGATTCTAAAGGTCAGCGGGAGGGAGCGCAGAGGTAGATTGTAAAGGTCCGCCCTTCGCCTGAGGGCTTATTGCAGCTGGCGTCGGTTCCTGGGCTAAGCGAACTCACAGAAGCGAGAGTAGAGCTGGTTAATAGCATCGGGCTTTCTGGTTTTTGGTTTCTCTCCTCACATTCCCCTCTTCGATGCCATTAGCTGCTCAGGTGGCTTTTGGCATCATCACAGGGCTGGCTGTAGGCCTGGCTATCCGAGCGCTGGAGAGCCTGGCACTGGTAGTGCTGTAGGGCCAGGATTTTTGCAGTAGTCTGCCTGGTGACTGTCGTCTCTATCCTGTGAACTAAGGTTCGCAAATGTATGGCCCTAGACTTAAACCAAGCACAAGAATGAAGATGGGACCCAAGAACGGTAGTAACCAATTTATCCAGGCTTGCCCGTTTATGTACCCCACTTCCATTTCTCTAGTTCCTCCTTACGCCGTCTGATGCCTTCCCTTATTTCTTCTACCTTCTCTTTTACTATTCCTGATTCATCAATAAAATAACATTCCTCCCCAAGGAACATACAGGTTCCCCCTTTTTCAGCTGTAAGGAGGTCTATTGCCCTTCGATGTTGCAGGGTTACTTTGGCAAGGGATACAATCTGCCATTGCAGGGCTGTTAGGGAGTCTGCTGCCTTCTCCTCCTCGCTGAGTTGGGCAGAGAGCTTGTAGTAGGTGGAGGCGGATGACCCGAGTCCTGCAACTCCCGTACCGACTCCGGAGGCGACGCCCACCCCTGCTACGGCCCCTCCTATTGCTCCTCTCCGCACTCGGGTTGTCTTCCTGGGAGGCTCCTGGAGGGCTTTTGCTCTTTCTTGTGGGGGCCTTATACTTATGCTTATGCTAAGGGGCTAAAAATACCTGGGTGGAGACTCCTGTCCAGTTCGTAGGGAGGCACTTGTACGCGGTAGCCCCACAGAGGAGGAATACCCCTGGCTCGGGGCAGAAGGAACTATTGTTAGGGAGACTCATGTTATGGGTACAAAGCTGATAGTTAAGGGACCCCCCTCCATAGGGTTCTTTAGTGGGGAAGTTTGGATGGGTAGGAGGCAGGTGACATTGGCCTTCCCAGGGTCCAGGAATACTTGTGTGGCCACTGGCCCTATGGTTATTGTCTGATTTGGACCTGCGGTGTCTCGGGGTCAGTCCCAGTTGTCAGGGACTGGTATTCCAATCAGTCCCCTATCCTGGAGAGACAGACAGATCCAATACTCTTGTCTGATTGGTAGAGTCGTGGTACCCAATATATAAGGTCTGTATTATTTGTCGGACTTAGACTTCTGGCCTTAGCTGGTCGGTTGCTTCCTGGAAGGCAGTAAGGTTGATTTGCTTATAGTCTATCTGCTGCTTCTTAAGCTGATTATTTAGGTTGTTTACTACTTTCAGCCTTTTTCCGCTCAAATTCTGCATGATTTAGGCTACTAAGCATTTGGTGCATATTCCAGCAGACTTGTTGGCCGGAGGTGCCGTGTACCCTGCAATTCTGGCTCTGGTACCCTAAGGTGCCTTCCATTACTCCAGTCTGGTACTGGCGCCCCCTCCAGGCGCAAGATTTTATGGTGCCGGCCTTTATGCATCCTGAGGGCCTATCAGTGCTAGAGACAAAGGCTTGGGTGGGAAAAGGATAGTTGATTACTCCCCCGCCTATTCTGATCCTGATCCGTTCAGCAGGGACCCCACACTGACATACTGGGAGGGTAACTGAGGCTGAGTACGATAAGCAAAGCAAACTAGATATCCAAAGATACAACACAAGCAAAGGTAGACGACCGCGAGGGCTACTTGCTCTGCTGGGCTCCATTCAGAGGGCGGTACCGTTTCTAGCCAGATGCCCAGGATGACACTGCAGACACCGTGGATGGTTAGGTGTCCGCTGGAACAACGGTCCGTGTCCCTGGCTGCCCTCTGGTGGCAGCCTCTCTCCGCAGTCTCAGGGTCGGGGTGGCCGGTTGCTGTTCTGGGGTTGCGCTCAGCCCTTGGCCCTTGGGGCTGCCCTCTGGAGTTCTAGCAGTTCTCCTTCTATCCGGGTCTGCCGCTGCTTTGGCTCTGCTGTAAAGGATCCACGGTGTAATGCCTGCAACTTTAAGGGCAGTCGGGGTAGTTAATAGCAGTAGGTGGGGGCCTGTCCAGGTTGCCTGGAGCAGCTTATTTTTCCAATCCTTTACCCATATGTATTGCCCTGGTCGGAAAGACTGCGTCGGCCTCCCTCGGGGTTGGGATTCCTGGCCTAATTTGGCCTGGTAAATGGTATCTAAGGTCTTGCCCAACCGCTTTAGGTACTGGGACTGACTCAACTTCCCCCTCACTTTGTCTGAGGTCATGGAGTCCTTCCAGCTTAGCTACTGGTGGGGGCCTGCCAAAGACTAACTCATAGCGGGTGTATCCTGAGGAGTTCGGGGTATTCCTGACTTGCAGCAGGGCCAGTGGCAACAGGTCAGTCCATGGCAGGTCTGTCTCCTGGTGAAACTTAGCTAGAGTTTCCTTAAGGGTCCGATTCATCCGTTCCACTTTGCCCGAGCTTTGAGGTCGGTATGCAGTGTGCAGTTTCCAATTTATTTGTAGGAGTCGGGTGACCTCTTGGACTACCTGGGCGACGAATGCCGGCCCGTTGTCGCTGCCGATTGTGAGCAGGAGCCCATACCTGGGTATGGTTTCCCTGAGGAGAACCCGAGTTACTGGCTGCGCCTTTTCAGTCCTGGTGGGGAAGGCCTCTACCCACCCTGAAAAAGTGCAGACCAGAACCAGCAGATATTTAAACCCTCGGCATGCCTTGACCTCTGTGAAATCTATTTGGAGGTCCTCGAAGGGCTGAGTTCCTTTGCGCTGGATTCCCGGTGGGACCCCCGGGTGTGGGGCCGCGTTGTTCCTTGTGCAGGTGATGCATTGGGCAGCCGCGGTTGAGCACAGGGCCGAAAGATTAGGGAAGTAGAAATATCTCTTGAGCAGCCTTTCTAGGGAGGTTTTGCCCAGGTGGGTCAGATGGCGGCAACGCCTCACTAGGTTACCGGCCTGACTTTGGGGCATGTATAAACGTCCATCAGGTAGTTTCCAAGTTCCCTTGGGAGTTTCCTGGCCCCCTGCTTGCTGGGCCCACTTTACCTCTGCTGGCTTGTAGTCCTGGCGGTTAACAGGACTTCCCAACAATGGCCCGAGAAGAGAGGGCATATCGTTCCTTATGGCGGCAGCCTTCGCTGCCAGGTCCGCCTTTTGGTTCCCGCGGGCCGGCATGGTGTCTGGTCTGGAGTGGCCTTTGCAGTGGATTACGGACACTGCGGCCGGAGCCCAGGCTGCTTCTAGGAGGCATAGGATTTCTGTCTTATTTTTGATTTCCTTCCCTTCTGCTGTCAGTAGGCTGCGTTCCCGGTAGATGGCCCCGTGGATGTGCAGGGTGGCGTAGGCATACTTAGAGTCAGTATAAATGTTGACCTTCTTGTCCCGGGCTAGTTCTAGCTCTGATCAGGGCCCAAAGTTCAGCTCTTCTCTACTATCTGATCGAGTGTGGTTACTGCATACCCAGCCACTCGATCCCCTTCTTTCATGTAGCTGCTGCCATCTGTAAAATAAGTTACGTCCGCGTTTGGCAACGGCTGGTCGCGCAAGTCCGGCCGGCTGGCGTAAACTTCTTCAGTCACTTCCAGGCAACAGTGGTCTGGGTCCCCCAGTTCGGTGGGCAGGAAATTTGCAGGGTTTATCCGCCTTACCATCTTTACCTGGACCCGAGGATTCTCTTGGAGAATGCCTTGGTACTGCGTCAGCCTGGGGTTCGACAGCCACCTGTGTCCCTGACCTGCCAGGAGGCCATGGATACCGTGGGGAACAAACAGGGTTATTTCTTGCCCCAGAGTTAGTTTGTCCGCCTCCTGCTGTAGGGCTACCGCGGCCACGACTGCTCTTAAGCAAGGTGGCCACCCAGCAGCAACGTTATCTTAGTTGCTTGGATAAGCAGGCTACAGGGCGCTGCCAAGGCCCGGCAGTTTGGGTCAAGACCCCTAGGGTCACCTTGTTCTCATGAACGTGTAGATTAAAGGGCCGGCTGGGGTCAGGTAGGCCAAGGGCGGGGGCCTTGCTGAGGAGGTCCTTTATCTGATTGAAGGACTGCTCCTGTTCCTCTCCCCAAGATAGGGGAGTGGTGTCCGGCCCGTGTAGGGCCTGATAGAGTGGCTTCGCTATGGCTGCAAACCCTGGGATCCAGATTCTGCAGAAGCCAGTACTCTTCCTCTTGTGGTAGGATGACCGCCAGGAAACTGGGGCCCCCTATTTGTAGCGAGGCCTCACCTGATGGCTGCAAGGATATCCGCGCCCCAATTTTGGAGAGGAGGTCTCAGCCCAGTAGTGGGACAGGGCACTCCGGCAGGTACAAGAACTCGTGTTTAACTCGGTGGCCCCCTAGGCCTACTGTCCGAGCTTGACAGAAGCTCCTTGGGCTACTAGGTTGGCCAGTGGCCCCGACAATGGTGACTTCTCATCCTGACGGTGGTGCCACCAGGATGGTAACAACCAAGTGTTCTGCCCCAGTGTCTACCATGAAGGAGAAGGTTTGGCTCCCAACAGTGGCTGTGACCATGGGCTCGCGGGGCCGAGATTCAAGCAGCCGGGTCTTTCCCATTCTGAGTCTAGGCCGGCCAGACTGAGGAAGGTGGGGGCCGACTCGGGAGGCGGCGGGCCAGCTCCTTTTCTTCCGGTTTGGGCATTCTCTTTTCCAGTGTCCTCTCTCTTTGCAGTAGGCACACTGGTCCTGCTCTACCTTTTGATGCCCTTTTCCTTTTTTGTCACCCTTCTTAGGCTCTGTGGGGGCGTGGCCTAGGGCAGCTGCCAGCAGGGCCGCTTTCCTTTCTAGCCTTTTCTGGGCTTCCCTTTTGGCTGCCTCTTCCCTATTATTGGATACCTTGTTAGCAACTTCCATAAGCTGGCTAGTGTTCATGCCAGTAAACCCCTCCAGCCTCTGGAGCTTTTTGCGGATGTCTGGGGCCGACTGCGAAACGAAGGCGGTGTTAGTCATCCGCTGGTTCTCGGGGCTCTCAGGGTCAAACGGGGTGTATATGCAATACGCCTTGAAGAGCCTTTCGAGGAAGTCGCCGGGACATTCGTCTGGCTTCTGGGTTACGCTGGCTCCCTTAGACATATTGGTTGGTTTTCGGGCCCTTGCTCTAATGCTGCGGAGGAATGCCTCCCTGTACCTGTCGAGTGCTACTCTCCCTTGCTCCGTATTATGATCCCAATCGGGCTGGGTCTCTGCGGCCGCGGCGCGGGCGTATTGGGCCGGGTCTAGGGTCCCAACAGGGGCAGTAGTCTCTAAATAGGGGGCCTCTTGCATAATTCTCCTCCTCTCTTCAGTATTGAACAGGGTGAGGAGGAGTTGGCGGCAATCGTACCAGGTGGGCCTGTGAGTCTGCATGATTGACTCCCTTTAAGTCGATGAGAGCCTGGGGTTTCTCCAAATAGGAGGGCGTATGGTGCTTCCAGTTCAGGAGGTCAGTTGTGGAGAACGGCTGATAGTAGAGGACTATCTGCCCAGGCTGGACCGTCCCGTCTGGGGCTACGTGGGGCGGTTCCCGGGTCTCCCTAAGGGGCAGTTGGAGGGGGTGTCGGTCCCAGAGACGTGAGGCTATGGGCGACGGCTCCCTTGGTGGAGCCGTGGGCTCGGCCGGAGGGGGGAAGACGGAGCTCGGTGGGGTGTCTAGTGATAGCGGCTGAGCTTCCGGCGGGTTCGCTGGGTATGGAGGCGGGGTGAGGAACGGGGGCTCCTCGTCAGGGTCGTTAAGAATGGGCAGCCGTCTGGTTCTGGCAACCAGGATCTGGGACCTATCTCCTGACTTATTTCCTGGTCGCAAACAGCACCCCCGAAAGCCTTTCTGGCGCGCCCCGGTGACGCGCAGAGGCCTGGTGCTTGCTTAGCACACCGCTGCGGCCACTTCGGCATGTCCTGAGCCCGCTCTTGCCATCGGTCTATATAGACAAATGGGTCAGGGTGCCCTGGTCTCCCTGCCACTATTAAGTGGACTGCCCTGAGAGTGGAGAGGTGGAGGGTTCCCTCGGGAGGCCAACCTACTCCAAACGTGGGCCATTCAGCCGAACAAAAAGTCTCTAATTGACCTGGTGTCGTCCTGGGGTCCTGGCCACGGAACCGGTCAAAGTCCCGGAGCACGCAATCTAACACTGTCGACGGTCCGCCTCCCCTGTTTGCCCCCGACACGGCGCAGACAGACAAAGGTTTAGGGGTGGTCCCACTCGCCCGCCTGGCCTCTCCTCTCGCGAGGGACTTGGGTCCGTCTTCGCTAAGGCTGCCCGAGTGGAGTCCGGGTTGATCCCCCAGCCGTTATGCCGTACGACGGACCGAGGAACCGCAGGTTGGGGCCCACTCACACTCCGTAGGCGGAAGCCGGTGGAGCCACAAACACAATCACTCCTGCACTTTCCCATTCACTCCGGAGGTTAATACGTCCCCTCCCGAGTGGGGACACCCTATCCGTACCAGAGGCCAAGGGCCTGAGAGGCGATCAGTCTCTCCTTCCACCCGAAGGGCGGGTCAGGTCTCGGGCTGGTCCCGGGGCACTTACCGATCCGGCGCCTGCTGGCGGGCTTGGGTCCGCTCCCCGAGCGCCCGGGTGGCGGAACGGTCCGAGGTCGGGGCGAGGGAGCCCAGTTCCTCAGGACCCGAAATCACCGGGGCACGTGCTTCCCTCCGGCTTCCAGGCCCACCCGGCCGACCCCGGCCGTCTCCACCGGCGGCAAGCGGCCTGCTCGCGGGAGTCGTTTCCCGGTCCGGGAACCAAATGGTGCGGGAAAGCAGACTCAGACGCGGTGCAGGGCCCGGAGTAAGCCTGCATTCAGGCGCGCGGGCTCAGAGGAGGCAGTCTCCAAGTTCCGAGCCCCGGACTGGGGGGGGGAGGCCGGGGTTTGTAAGCCTTAGCCCGGGGCGGAAAAAGATCGGCGCACAGACGTAGATTGTAAAGGTCCGCCCTTCGCCTGAGGGCTTATTGCAGCCGGCGGTGGTCCCTGGGCTAAGCGAACTCACAGAAGCGAGAGCAGAGCTGGTTAACAGCATCGGGCTTTCTGGTTTTTGGTTTTTCTTCCCCCCACAATCAGTTATGTATATTTCTCAGCTGGAAAAGACATGGTGAGTTGGAAGTGTAGGTACTTCTTCATGTTTAATTCAGACAACGAAGAACTGCAGTTTTTTAAGAACGCGGATTCTGATTCAGGAGTTCGGGGATGGGGCCTGTGTTTCCACATCTCTAACAAGCTTACTTTTTACTAGTGACACCAATGTCTCTGGTCCACATGCCATACTTTTGAACAGCACAAAAAGGAAAACACAGAAAATAATTCATACAAGACTTTGAGCTTAAGGTGTTTTATACAATTTACAGTTCTTAAGAAATAAAAAACACTAGCAGCCACAATTTTATTTGAAAATTTAGCATACGTAATCCTAGAACAAGGTTATTCTTCTTACATTATGAGAATATTTTGTGAAACATACAGCAGAAGTAGACCTTGAGATTTACTCCAAACTTGATCTACAATCTTTCCAAACCACCCCCAACCACTCAAATATGCATACAGAGACCTTGTAGAAGTTCACTGCAATTTCGGTAACTGAGAATAACAAAAATATTTAAGAAAGTTAGAAGACAAAGTAGCTCAAAAAAAATATTGGTGGGGGGGAGGCAGAGACAAATGTATTTAAAAAGTAAATAAATTAAAAAAAAAAGTAGCTCAAATAATGGTAACATTTTACGTACACAAACATATATATGGAAACTAAGTACAATTGAAAAGTGATAAAAAACAGAATTTTCATGTCCATGAGGGTAAGATTATACTGTGAATCTGTATATCTCCTAAGTCTATGTATGGATGATACTCTTTGTCTTTTATAAACACAATAAAGGGAAGAATATATAATGAAAAAGAGAAGTTAGAGGTATTGTTTATTAGTTTTTTATTTTTAAAAAATTTTTGTGTATCATTAGTGAAGAGTTGTATCTTAGGAATTTAACTGAATTGAACATACATTAATATGATTCATAAATTTTTTGAAAATACAAAAAGTGTTAATGTAAAATATGTCTATAGCATGAATGTGGAATATAACAAAAATTTACAAAAACAAAGCCTGATTAATTAAATGCTCCATTTCAAAGCCAGTGATCTTTAAGAAAAAAAGTAGGGCCTTCATTTTCCAAAGCAAACAAAAACTAAGAAGAAGAGGGGAGTTTCCAAATGAAATGTAATGTTTTTTTTCACATCTCTCAGTAATTCCCTGACTGACCCTTGTTAATTATAAAAGTAAACTATTAACTATATAGTGAAGAGACCACCTCAGCCACATGAATATCAGGTGGACTGGAACAATGGATATCAGGTGATTGAGGTACATGTCCTCAGTGCTGTGATGTTACTGGCAAAAATACAGAAATTAAAAAATCATTACATGAAAATGATCACAAATAGACATTAATTTTTGCAAAAGTCAAAGCACACATACCTCCCCTGTGTGGAACACAAATACTGTAGTACATTTAAATAGCAAGATTTTTTAAAAAAAAATATTTATTTATTTATAGACAGAGGGGAAGGGAGGGAGAGAAGGAAAGAAACACCAATGTGTGGTTTCCTCTCCCATACTCCCTACTGGGGACCTGGCCCGCAACCCAGGCCTGTGACCTGACTGGGAATTGAACTAGCGACCCTTAGTTCGCAGGTTGGTGCTCAGTCAACTGAGCTACACCAGCCATGGCTAAATAGCAAGATTTTTGTACCAAACTAGTGAGCAAGTTTCTTCTATTCTTCTTTGTCATAACTCTCTGACCTATCCTGACGAGTAAAATGTGCATTTCCTTACCCCTGATCTACAGAGCTGATGCTGCAGCCACATGAACCTAAAGCCTACATGTCCCTTCTTCACCAAAACCCGAGCCTCTGAGTCCATCCCAACAGGGATGCTGGACATGGGCACCTTCCCTGGTTGATCTGTCACAGAGGGGCTGTGTTCAGTGGTTGAAGATCATTAATTCAAGGCAGGAATTCTTCATGTGCTTGGGAAGCCTGGGTAAAGGAAACGCAGAGAAGGCTCTGGGACAAAGGAGAGACATATAAAAACTGCTGACCTTGACAATCATAAGAAGAAAGGAAAAAAATAAGTAGATAAAAACCACCTCACTAGCCAAGAACATTAGAAGCAGAGAAATAAAAGTTGCAGGTCCTAAATCCACTGATGTCAGGAAGAAAAGTAAACAGCCTCCGACCATGACACATCATTTACCTGAGCAGCAGCCATGGCGTCCTGGTTCTGCTCTGGGTTCTTTTCTCCGGCGACGATACGCTACAGGGGTCACGTCTGCATTCTGAGGATGTGCCTGCAAAGGCGTCTGCACAGCCTCTTAATCTGCTTCCAGCACACTCACGGCAGAAGGATGAGGACTTCTCAGGTGATTTAACAGGACTCTGAAGGGAAACAGTTTAGCTTTATATTTTTAAAAAATATTTTTATTTATTTTTATTTTTAGAGAGAAGAGAAGGTAGGGAGAAAGAGGGAGAGAAACATCAATGTGTGGTTGCCTCCTACTGGGGACCTTGCCCACAATCTAGGCCTGTGCCCTGACTGGGAATCGAACCAGCAGCCCTTTGGTTCACAGGCCGGTGCTCAATCCACTGAGCCTCACCAGCCAGGGCAGGAAACAGTTTAGCTTTCATAAGCATGCAGACCCCTAGGAGATGAAGGCCCCACTCTAAGTTACAATTCTGCAGGTCTGTAACGCAGCCCATGAAATGGCACCTTTACCTAGTTCCCTCCTGATGCCTGTGTTGCTCCCCCAGAGCTGTTGTCTGTAGCGCTGGGCCAGACATATCACACCCAGCACATCTCAGACTTCTGGGTACTGTAAGGACTTCAGGCAGAAACTTCTAAAATGACAGGCTCCCTAGAGAAATTTTTTTCCCTTCTTTTCCGAGAAATTACTAAGAATTATTTTCAAAACATAAAATGATAAATGCAAGTTTTGATGCTGAAAACTTAAAAAAAAAGATTAGCTATGAAGGTATGTTTATCAAATTACACAATGAATAGATATGCTCTGTGGGGACCACGTTTCAGGTCAATCCAGTCCGTCCTTCAACATTTTCAGAGTATGGACAACAGGGACTTGAGGGGAAGAGTTCCTTTTTGGCTCACAGTCACTAATTCAACAAATCTCGTCAGTGCAAGACATCAGCCACTGAACATTAGACAAACGCATGAAACTAGGTTCTGAAGGTTAAGATCACTGATGTCCTTTCCAAGTGCACACTGAAATAGCCTGATATTACTGAGTACCAATGGATGTTGCAACTTACAAACAGTAGAAAGGATGCAGGGCTCAGAATTTAAACTAGACACGATATATAGAAAAGGAAAATTATTGGAAACTTTTTTAATGTAATGACTTCTATGGTCAGTGTTTTAAAAAGGTTGACACTATCTCATATTTAGAAAACAATGTTAAGTGCTGGTTCAGAGGTATCATCAATGCTTATTTCAAGTTAGTGACTACAGAAAAGTAGATATTCAAGAAGAGTCAGATTTATCTCAATATGTTTTTATTTAGGGAAAGTGGTGGGGGGTAGGCAGAGACAAATGTATTTGAAAAAATAAATTAAAAAATAAAAAAAGTTAAAGTGAAACTGAAGTAAATGAGTTCATAAAATTAAGTATCAGTATGTGCTCTAATATTCAGAAAAAGTTTAATTTATAGAGGTTAGATAGCATTTACAATTACAGTCCTCAAAAGAATACCATATGTTGAGAGTTTATATAGAGAGATAATTACTAATCAGCTCAAATTTGTAAAATAGTTATACAAAAATAAAAGATTATTTTTTCATAACAAAAAAATACTAAATTCAATATAAGATGTAGATGAAAAAAGAAAATCGAATGGACAGAAAATAAAAAAAGACCCAATGGTTTTAATATTCCTCGAAAAAGCATCATGTGGTGACACACTCAGCCATTTCTTGTCCCAGGTCACCTCCCTCTTGCCATCCCAGGAAATGTGAAGGGACCCATGTCTCTGCCCTCTGAGTGAATAAGGGTTTGAAGCTAAAAATGATAAAATTCATAAGTCTTGTAAACTGGGGATTTGTAATTGTCATTCAAATTTATTTAAGTGAAACAATTCAGCAAATGTTTAATTAAATAGTCACAAGCCAGTATCTTACAGATTAATCAACCACTTCCTATCAGCTCATCACTTACCCGTATCTTTCTCCCCGCTACTCTGTATCGTCGTGTGCGGATCTGTGTCTGTCTCTTCCCTGTCTCTTTGCACTTCTGTCCTTTCCCGTGTTTCCACTCCCGCTCCATCTTGCTTCGCCCCCTTTTCTCTGTTCCTGTCCAGCAACACTCTTGAAACCTATTTCACCTTCAGCTGCTCTTCCTCCCTGGTATTTCTGATTGCTCGCCTCTGCCACCCGCCACCCCATGCCTGTGTCCCCTCTGCTGCCCCAGTGACAGTATTTCCTGTCACCCCCAACAAGTTGGCTGACTCTCAGTGCTGTTTCTCCCTCTGATCCGTCGCCCCGAACTCACTCTCCGTCCCTGCTCTCGCTCCCCCAACTGGTCTCCTTAGAACTACTCCCTCCGTCCGAAGCGCCTCGCCCGCTACTGCCCCTTCGACCGCTCAGTCCTCCCCACCCCCCCCGGCCCTCCCACGTCCTCTGCGCGGCCGTCTCTTCGGGCCCCTCGCGGACCTTTGCTCCCCCTCACGTGTCCGTTCTCTCATCCCGGCTCCGGGTCCCCTCACAGCCTCGTTCCGCTTTCCCAGACGCCCTTTCGCCGTCACCGCTTCCACAAAGCCCCTCCCCACGTGGGGCAGGTCACCTCCTCCGGGGACACCGTGTTCTCCGCCCCCCTTGAATTCCCACCCCATGGAAAGTGCGCTTTCCTCGGATTCGGGGGGGCTTACTGAACTGGAGGTGGGGTCTGCAGATCTCCAGGCCGGGTGCAATCGGGCTCTAGGGACCGAGATCAGCGAGGCCGGTGGTTGGGTGCCAAGGGTTTGACTCCATCTCCCGAGACTTTAAAGGGCGTGAGGCGGGAGTGCTGCCCAGAGAAGGGCTTCCAGCAAGAAAACTTCCCCGCAGGCTGTGGCCAATGCCTGAGGGCTGAGAGTTTTCCCGAACGAGCGCAGAGCGTCTCACGCGGACGCCGGACTCACCGCGAAAGCAGGGTTGGAGCGGGGATTTCATGAACGGTAGTGACCCTCAGGCTTCACGTGCGCACGAAGGAGTACTGAGAAAATCAGGTTTCAACCGGGAAAAAAAAACCACCCCGAAATCTGGAAGAACAACAAGCACCTTGCGCGACCACAGCCGCTTCTGCGCCTGTAAGAAACTGCGCACGCTCATCACGTCAACATATGGGCGGGGTCAGAGCCTGAGCTGGGTGCTCCCGCGACGGAGGGCGGGGCTGTGGCCCGACGGTCCCACGCAAAGATAGAGGAATACAGGCGACGGACGGCGGCTTGCCCTGGGCTCCACGCCCCCTCGTTCCCATTGGTTATGTAGTCTTCCCTTGGTCCTTGGGTTTGGTTTACCCACATCATTACTCCTACAATTTGAATCAGCGAGAGGGGAGGGCAACGGAATCTCGGTGATGGGGGAACTGAAGAGTTGGTACATTTTAGTTTTAAGTAAACTATTTACTTAAGTTTTAAGTAAAAATTAGTAGTTAATGCATGTAAAAAGCTGTTGTTTCCAAACTGAAGGTACAGCACACCCTGACTCCAGGAGACCAGGAGAAAGTCAACTTCTGTGCCCCAGAAGAGACCATAAGCAATCAAGATGGTATCTGAGCCTTGTGTTTCAGGGAAAGAATGCCGCTGCCTAGGACACATATAAAGAAAATCACTCTGGACACAGGACCCAGGACCCAGGACCCAGGACCCAGATTTAAAAAAAACAAAAACAAAAACTTCTCATTCATATATATATAAATGGTCTCACTGGTCAACGGATGAAAGGATGTTAGGAAAATTGCCAGGCTGCATCTTTTTATCTGACTAACCTCTTTTCTGAATTCCAAATCCCTTATCTACACTTTTTTCCCCCCTTGAATTCCAAATCCCTTACTTAGATATTTTTTTCCTCCTTATAAAAAGGGTAGGATTGAAATGGAATGTAAGGTGGTCTGTTAGGGTACATAACCCGCTGTCCTCTCTGATTTCCGACCATCTGAATAAAGCACCCATAAAGATTCAATCCTTGCCCTGGTTGGTGTGGCTCAGTGGATTGAGTGCCTGCCTCCAAACCAAAGGGTCATTTGTTTTATTCCCAGTCAGGGCACAGGCCTGTGTTGTAGGTCAGGTCCCTGGTAGGGGCCACGGAAGACATGTTGATGTCTCTCCCTCTCCTTCCCTTCTCCTCTCTCTAAAAATAAATAAATAAAATGGTTAAAAAAAAAAAAAAGTCAATCCCTGACTCTGCTTATTGGATCTTGTAGTGACAGGCAGTAGGAATACCAACTTTTCTGGTTTCACTGAGATCATGCTGCTTGTCACCGCTCGGCCAAAAGCCAGAGGCAGGGATTGGATTATAATGGTGCTTTTTATTAATATGGAGAAGGTGGCAGGTAAAAATCCTAACATCCACCTTCCCTTTGAGTTTTCACAAGTTTATGTTGGAGAAACATGGGAATCTGTGAGGGAGGGATTTCTAGGGGGAGCATGGCCTCCGGCTTTCCCTTGGTTGTAAGGGGATAGGGAGCTGCAAGGGTAGTTGAGCAGCTTCATCCCAAGCTCCCTCCCTTCCTTCTGGTGTTATCTCTCCCTGTTAGGTAGGATAGATAGTAAACCAAGGCAGGGAGGAGAAGGGAGACATGTCTCAGCCACAAACTCAGCAGTCCTGACCTCCCTACAATAGGGTTGCCAGGTGTTCCAAATGTCACAAGAAACTCCATGATAGCACAGGAGGAGGTAGCCCTTGAAGTTCTGTATGTATTGCTGCCACTATCTGGGAGAAGGCCTTTGAAACTGTGTATTCATCCCAGGGTCTAGAAGGGGGAAGACAGCGCCCAAAGAAAATGCCTATAAAACAAATTTGGTTAATTGCCCATGTTCATTATTTATTTTACAAGGGGCTCCCCAGTGCTTACAGAAAGAGCCCATAAATAACTTCAGGTAACTGTCTCAATGTTAACCACCTCCTGTCAGGTATCTATCTGTTTTACATCAAGATGAAGAAATGCAGTCTGGAGCAAAATAAGAATTTTGGTTGACAACCCTCCACACATACCTACTTTTGGGTAGTCAAGTCCCCCTGCAGGAAGCTGGCACCACTTTTACCCACCAAACAATATGTAACTCCCTCACCCCCATCCTGAAAACTATATAGGTCCTCAGAATAAAGGACCCTTGCTTTTGCCACGCTTGCTTTTTGCTGCCCAAGC